TTCAATAGAGAAGATGGCTGGGTGCTACCATCTGCTTGGGATCCTATAATAAATAAAATTAAATCCCAACCCCAGCATACAACTGCAAGACTTCAAGATACCATAAGTTCATACTGTATAGATCGGAACAAAAGTTAAATTTTAATCTATGGTAACCGCGGTTAACTATGACATATGGACGTTGAACATCTCAGTCCCACCCGTGACCATGAGTGCTGTAAAGCGTTCGAAAGGTCGGGTATTTAAAAAGTTAAATATACGCGATAAATTCCGTAAAATCCTATAGGACAGTTTCTCTGCACTGGGCCCTAATACACGCCGGGCTGCTTCCATTAGACTTAATGGTCCAGGAAACAGCCTTGCTTTATGAAATCAAGAAAGGTTTTTCTCGACGGATAGTAGACGATTGCGATGTAGAAACAAAATTGAATTTTCAAAGATCACACATCCCGCGGATCAGGTAGGGTTTAATCTCACATGCCTGGAAGACGGTGCACAAATTAACCAATGTGACAATAAGAGCCTAAAGATTTTTACAGATTGAAGTAAAATAGAGGGGGAAAGTCGGCGCGGTGTTATCCATTTGGAATGACGCCGCGGAGACGAGTACCCGAAAATTAAAATTGGAAAATTTTTGCACCGTTTACCAGGCAGAGTTTCTGGCAATACTGGAAGCAAATAGGTATGCACTTAAAACCACAGCACAAAACTGCAACATATACAGCGACTCCAGGTCTGCATTACAAACAATTGTTCAAGACGTTTCCCTCCATCCCCTAGCAGTGGAGGTAAGACAAAACATCTCAAAAATAAATAAGCAAGGCAAAATATTAAATATATTTTGGATCAAAGCTCACGCGGGATTCGGGGGGAAACGAAAGAGAAGACCAATTAGCCAAGGAAGCTGCTCTTAAAATAAAAACGAAACCTGTATATGAAAAATGTCCGATTTCATACATCAACCGACGCATTCGAACAGAGTCGCTTGATGAATGGAACCGGCGTTATAAGGAAGGTGAAACAGCATCGATTTCTAAAATATTTTTCCCGGATGCCATTGCCGCCTATCAAATAATCTTAAAAATAGACATGGATCCGATAATAGTACAAATCATGACAGGACATAGGGGTTTCTCCGAATATTTATTCAGATTCAAATGTAAAGAGAGCCCGGCATGTGCCTGGGACCCTTCTTTAATTTTGCTGCATTCTTCGCAGCTAAATCAGCTGCTTTGTTCCCAGCGATACCCGTATGAGTTTTAATACAAGTGATGGTAATTTTACCAGTTTCCTCCATTTTTTTAATCTTGTTATGTATATTTGTAACAATAGGGTGATTATTACTTCGTTTATTTATTGCATAAATCGCTGACATACTGTCTGAAAATATTTTAACTTCATTAATATTATTTTTATGGTCCATGCACAGGCAATGGCAAAAAGTTCTGATTGAAACACTGTACAGCTATCATGTAACTTAAATTTTTTAACTAATATATTTCTATCATTGTTAAATACTACGAAGGAGGCTCCCACCTTTCCATCCTCTAATTTGCTACAGTCTGTATAAATATTAATAAGCGTTTTGTTAGGGTCACTATAAGGAGGTTCGTTATCTGGTGAGAAATTTTTAAATATTTTGATTCTACAAGCTGGATGTATGAGGTATTGAGGTGGTGTGGGCTTTTCAAGGGTAATATCTTCAGGCAAATATTGGGTTTTACCAGAGCTTCGGATGTTTTCAAGCTGGTGCACTTCTTTTATTTCGAGATCAAGTGGTGTGAATTGAGCGAGAGCTAATGCTGCTGCGGTGGATACTGTACGAAAAGCTTGTATAGCTTTGAGGGCAAACAGGCGTTGAGTTCGTTCCAGCAATTTCTTACAACACTTTTTGGAAGTGGCTTCACCCCAAACACCAGCAGCGTAAGTTATTGTAGGTTCAATTACTTGATGGTAGATTATACTAATATTTTCGGGATTAATCTCCCAAGTGGGTCGGCAATATATACATAATTTGTGGAAAATACGGGTGGCTTTATCTAGAACGTACTTAATGTGGTTTTTAAAAGTGAGCTTTGAGTCGATTATTACTCCGAGTAATTTTATCTGATTTACTATAGGTAATGTATTGTCGTTCATTTTGAGTTTCGCTATTTTAGCTTGGGCGGTAAAAGCAATTGCTAGCGTTTTTTCCCAGCTGAAAGTGAGTTTCACACTTTGTCCCCATTGGAGAATTTTGTTTAATGCCGAGTTAGTGGTTAATTGTAATTTATTAACATCCTGTGCGTGAACGATTAGTAAGACGTCATCGGCAAAAGCCTGGATGTGACATCCGGGTGGAAGTTGAATTTCTAACAATTCATCCAATATTATATTCCATAGAGTTGGGCCGCAAGTTGATCCCTGTATACAACACCTAGACATAGTTTTGGTGGTCTGATACCCTGCATAATCCAGTGTGACTTTTCTGTCTTTGACATAGTCATGTATTAACCCAAAGATGTTGCGGGGACACTGGATATGTCTAAGTCTTTGAAACAAGGCAGGCTACCAAGCGTTGTCAAACACAGCTTTGATGTCCAGGGAAACTGCTACGACTTGTTGGTTATTTTTCTTGGCTTTTTTAACAATTTCTATAGCTGAAGATATAGCTGCTGTGGTGTTAGTCTGCTCTTTAAAACCGAATTGTCGATCGCACATTTTGCCATTTCTTGTGGCCTGATATTTGACCCTGGCTATGAAACTTTTTTCCAATAATTTTCCAAGTACAGGTAAGAGACCAATTGGGCTTAAGTCGTTAGGATTATTTTTATTAGGCTTCGAAATAATTTTAACATAAGCTATTTTCCATTGCCGTGGAAAATATTGAAGAGATAGACATCGATTCATTATATTAGTTAGTAACTTTGGGTAAGCTAGAGCAAACTGTGTGCAAATATCGGCTGTAAGATTATCAACTCCTGGTGCTCGCTTTGGGTTCATACTTTGGACGTGCTCAAGTATTTCTTCTTCACTGAATGGGAGGTCATTATCTGTATTTGGAAAAGTGTTATAGTCTTTTCTGAGCTCTTCGTGTCTGGGAATGGAATCAGGAGTGTCATCAGGGTAAAATTGATTGAGTAATGCTTTTGAAGTTTCTTCTTCGTTATCGGTATATGTGTTACCAATTTGTAAAATATTTGGTGGGCGATTTCGTTTGGTTTCTTTTAGCAGTCGGTTCGTAAGTGACCAAACATTTTCTTTGTTTTGGCGTTGGCAAAATTCCTTGAAAATATTTGTTGATGCTCGCCGAATTTCTTCTGCATACTCCTTTTTCTTCACCTGTCTCTCTTTTATCAGGTGGTCTAGAGGAAGACCTCTTTTTTTAGCTTGGTGTATCTTATGATGAAAGCTGATTACTTCTTTTTTATAATTTTCTAGTTTGTCAGTCCACCATAGTAGCTTATACTTGGCGCCGCTTTTTCTGACAGGCATAGATGCTCGACATGCCTCGTGTATGATGTCAGTGTTTTTTGTTATAAAATCTTCTAGTTCAATGGCACCAAGTGTGGATATGTTCACATCCAGGCATCAGCTGTTACACAAATGGGTATCCAAGGCAGATTTAAACTCTGCCCAGTTTGCTTTATTACTTTTGTATTGATAGGTGGATGTGTTATTATTTGATAGGTTTGTATTGCAAAGGTTTAATACCATTTCGACTGTATTATGTTGTGATAAAGGGCAAGCCTCAAGATTGACTTGACATCTGCTGATATTTTCGTATATGGATCCAGATGCCAAGATTAAATCTATAATTGATGTGCGATTTCTTCCATGGGTTACTGTCTCAAAAGTTGGAGTTGAGCCGGTATTACAGATATACATGCCGTTTCCAAACATGATTTCTGCCACATCGCGCCCTCTTGGATTCGAAGTATCGCTACCCCCACAGGGGATACCACCCATTAAAATCTCCGCACAAAATACGGTGAGAGTCACTAGTAGCTTTTAAGAATGCATCGACACGTTAAAGTGTTGCCAATTCGTCGCGTTGCGGAAAGTATATATAGTTTTTTACTACCTACAGTTATTTGTACAACGCAAAGATTAGAGGATGAAAATTGTGTAATTCCTAACAATGCTCAACGCTTAGGCTTGGCAATGATGCAGGCTTTGACTTTATTATTATTAGTTGGAAACTGATATATGTTGAGGCCTTGTATCGATTTCATTTCCTGGAGATTTCCGATGTACGGTTCCGAGAGTAAAGCTATCGAGTAATCGTTATCCATAAAAAAGCGAATAAATTCGTGTTGGCAACTTTTAGACCTGTCTATGTTACACTGGATTATTTTTATTTTAGTTGTCGGATCCATAATCGATACGTTGACTTATTCGCTCCTTCATAGATTTTACTTTCGGACAGAATAGAGAAGTAGCTTTGGTGTTGTATATTGAATTTAGTTTGGAATTTATTATTATGCGCTTGACAGTTATAACAAATAGCAGAAGATTTATCGGCCTTTAGCAGACAATTTGTAAACGTGTGGTCAGTTGTTGCACAGTGAGAGCATGGATGAGTATTGTTGGGACATTTGTTTTGGACGTGACCGAATTGCAGACACCTAAAGCACTGTATAAAAGGTGAAAAGTCCTCGGCTCGGCAAGCCGAGGACTTTTTTTCCGTTGATTCTCCCCAAGCTAATTATTTTGCGCCATATCTGTGGTTTACATATAAATACCGCGTTGTATAGTTTATCATTTCTATATTTTTTTTTCTTTTGAATCGTAGGTAGGTTTTCAATAAGTTCTCCGAGTTCTTGGTTTTGTCCGGCAATGATATCAGCTAACTCATCAAATAGAACATCGTGAGAGATTCCTTTGAATATAATCATAGGATTCATTTTACACGCAGGTACGGCACTAACAGCCGGGGCGGATTTTAATCGCTCCAATCGCATCGTCTCTCTGTACACAAGAATCGAATTCGATCCTAAGTTTATTATTAGAGATAATTTTTAATTTAGAAGGTGCATAGTTAGTTTTTTTAAACATATGCTTTTACGCCAAGACTCCATGATTTCCTCTCTGGAATTGACAGTTGTTGTTGGTGTTAATATTATAGCTGGCTTAGTTGCTGGAGTGACGGATTGTTGAGTTTGTTTGAAAAAAGGGGTTGAAGCGACGCTAGCATAAGATTTAACTTGTAATGGAGGAAACGACATTTTGGCGATTTCTTCTTTAATTGCATTCTGAAGAGAAGTTTTAACCTCATATATGCTTGTGGTAAACTCCGCTGTAATTTTAGTTTCTCTTATTATGCGATTTATGTCGTGCGCCATTTCTATTACTGCCTTTTTATTTTCGGCCGTGACGCTTCTTCCCGTTGAGATGGTAGTTATAATTGTGTTTGCCAATTTACTAATAGCGTTAAGGCTTTCCGCTGTGCTGAGAGATATGCGGTTTTCATTTTGGCCGGAGTTATTAATTGTATCACAAAAAGGGGTTTCACAGTTGAATTGGCCATTTTAAAGCATATGACAATTAATAAAAACGAAATATACTGCGAAACTTTGAAAACAGTACTTTTAATATATTCAGTAATCGAAATCTACTTAAGTAAGAGCAACAGAGAGGGTGGGAGGTCGATTTTTTCAAGTTCTGTGTGTTTTATAAAGCAAATAAGAGTGCAGATGGTAGTTTCTACACAAGACGGACCTAATAAAAGCAAAAAGAGCGTAAGAAATGAAGATTTGAAAAATTTTAAAAATTTTATAAAATTACGACTATAGGAAAACGAATTATGTGAAAATCAATATTTTAGCGGTAAAAATTTACTATAAAAACTATAGATAAATACGGGGGGCGGTTAAATACACTATTTACAAAGAAAATTTAAACGGAAAAGGCCACTTTTCAGCCAAGTTATAGATGAATACGTGTTTTTATTAGTGAATTTACGTAAATAAGAGACGGAAAATATAGAAAATTATATATATAACGTTAAGAATTCACTAAGAAAACTATAAGAAAATATGGGGAGCAATTAACTAAACAATTTAAAGAAGATTTGACGAAAAATACCAATTTTTTAGGAAAGTTATTGGCAAATTTATAGTTGGTTAGGTTAGGTTACGTTAGGTTCCCCCCCGAACGGGTTCCCGCCTTGTCGTGGCGGGGGGCTTAGTAGCCGTGGCTTGGTCTCCCACGGTGAACAAAGAGGAACCCACATGGCTGGCCCGAGGTAAAAGGGCCGGCCCGAGGTGGCCACTCCGAGTGGGCTTGGAGAGCCCACTTCGGATGTGTGCTGGTGGACTGCAGCGAGAGGGGAGTCTGCACCCTCTACCGCTGCAGCCGAGGTGGAGTCGCGGAGGAAGAGGAGTGTTGGTATGGCGATGCGCCACTCGCCCTATCCTCCGCGACTCAAACGGGGCCGCACCGTTGATGCGGTGGTGGTGGGGCTGCGGGGGGAGAGGATTGTCGGTATTGCGAGGCGCCGCTCTCCCTACCCTCCGCAGCCGAATCTTGGTTGGCGGCGGAGCCATAGACCAGATCCGCCTCTGAGGTCGGGAAGGCTAGTACTTCTAAGTGCTCGTTTTTCCTGGCCCCATGGCCTTCGCGCATCGGATGCGGGGGCGTCTGATGCGCATATTTAATTTGGAGGCCGTGGAGGAAGGCGCGTTATGTGTTCTGGTGCGCCTTACCTGGGATGGAGAACGGGGAGGAATATTCCTCTCCTGAGGAGGTGCTGCCATGGGGCGGCAGTCGCTGGTGGGGCCGTGGATGTGTGCGAAAGCGTTCCCGTAGCCCTGCCAATATGCGACGAAGGTAGAACACCATGGGGTTTTAGTCGGTGCGAGTCCGACATAACCCGTCCTTGCCCCCGCGAGGCAGGTATGCGTAGGCATTTCCCCATGTTAAAAAAAAAAAAAAGTTAGGTTAGGTTAGGTTAGGTTAGATTAGGTTAGGTTAGGTTACCATCTGTATATCCGGTTCGACGTCTCTGCCCAGACTGCGAGAGGCCGCCATCCAACTACCCCGATTAACGACGGCCCGCGTTGGGCGCTTAAGCGCATCGACAGGGACTACTCGAGAAGCTGCCTTCGTCCAGTCCTGGAACTGGGAGTCGGCAACGGACGGTACCGTCGACGTCGAAGCAGTGGCGCTATGGTTTCGCGGGGCGATGACGCAGATCTGTGACGCGTCCATGCCCCGTGTCCGCCAACGGTCCGCAAGGCACCAGGTGTACTGGTGGACCGCCGAGATCGCGCAATTGCGCATAGCGTGCGTTGCGGCCCGACGCCGGTACACCCGATACCGGAGACGGCGTCGACGGGATTCCGCCGAGGAGGACGCGCTGTATGAGGTGTACCGCGCGTCTAAGGAGACTCTGTGGCTGGCCATCGGCGACTCGAAGTCGCGTGCCAGGGAGGAGCTGCTGGGGTCCCTAGATCGGGATCCGTGGGGGCGCCCCTACCGTTGGGTACGGGGCAAGTTGCGTTCCTGGGCGCCTCCACTAACGAAAAAATGCAACCCCAGTTGCTAGAGACGGTGGTATCAGTTCTCTTCCCTGAACGAGTGGGACACGTTCCCCCGGCGATGGCTTCGCCCTCAGCCACAGACTCTCCAGAGGAAGAGAGCACCGATGTCCCCAAGGTGACGCAAGCAGAGATGAGAGCGGCCATGGCGCGACTTCGGGCCAAGAACACAGCGCCCGGACCCGACGGAGTTCCTGGTCGAGCTCTCGTCCTGGCTCTGAAGGAGCTGGAGCCCCAGCTGAGGGGGCTCTTCACGGCATGTCTCGAGCAGGGTCGGCTTCCCAGTGTGTGGAAGGAGGGAAGGCTGGTCCTACTCAGGAAGGAGGGGCGCCCCGCGGACTCACCGTCCGCGTACCGGCCCATAGTGCTGCTCGACGAGGCGGGCAAACTTCTTGAGCGTATCATCGCAGATCGCCTCGTCAGCCACTTGTGCAGAGTGGGGCCAGACCTGGACGAGAACCAGTTTGGTTTTCGTCGCGGGCGCTCCACCATAGACGCTATTACGCGCGTGAGGGCCCTGGCGGAGGAGACAGTATCCCGAGGTGGGGTGGTGCTGGCGGTGTCATTAGACATCTCCAACGCCTTCAACACCCTACCCTGGAGTTGTATTCGGGAGGCGCTTAATTACCATCGCGTGCCTCCCTACCTCCGCCGCACAATAGGGGCCTACCTTGAGGAGAGATGCGTCACGTATTGGGGACGTGACAGCGCTGGTCGACGCGTCATGTCGTGCGGTGTTCCGCAGGGATCGATCTTGGGACCGCTCCTGTGGAACATCGGCTACGACTGTGTGCTGAGAGGTGAGCTCCCGTCGGGCGCTGACTTGACCTGTTATGCGGACGACACGCTCGTCACTGCCCGGGGGAGCTCGCACAGGGAAGCAGCGTTGGTTGCCACGGCTGCGGTTTCACAAGTGGTGAACCGCATCCGGTGCCTGGGCCTGGAGGTGGCCCTTAATAAGTCGGAGGCCATGGTGTTTCATGGCCTTCGACGCGCGCCGCCACCGGGATCGCACATCGTGGTCGGCGGGGCCCGGATAGCTGTCGAGTCCACCATGAAGTACCGATACCGATGGGAATTTGGGCCCCACTTCCGGCGGCTGGCGCCCAAGCTGATGCGTGCAGCTGGCGCACTTTCAACGCTGCTTCCCAACTTGGGGGGCCCGAGCGCTGCCTGTAGGCGGTTGTACGTGGGAATCGTGCGGTCCATGGCCCTGTATGGGGCCCCTGTATGGGCGATGGACATGACGGCCAGCACTCTCGCCATTCTGCGCAAACCGCAGAGGGCGATGGCCGTCAGAGTCATCCGCGGGTATCGCACGATTTCCTACGAGGCGGCTTGCGTCCTGGCCGGATCCTCGCCCTGGGACCTAGAGGCGAAAGTACTCGCGTCACTATATCGATGGCGCGAGGAAGAGCGGGGACGGGGCTCGAGGCCGGTGCAGCGACAGATCGCGCTGCGCCGAGAGGAGCTCCGTCAGGTCTTGGTGGCGGAATGGCGGCAAAGGCTTCTGCGCCCTACCGCCGGCCTCGCTATCGTCGAGGCGATCCGGCCAGTACTCGACGACTGGCTCGGGAGAAGGCACGGCTCCCTGTCGTTTAGGGTGACGCAGGTGCTGTCGGGGCACGGCTGCTTTGGCAAGTACCTGTGCCGCATAGACAGGGAGCCGGACGCTCGGTGCCACCACTGCGTCCATTGCGGGGAGGACACGGCGCAACACACGCTCGCCGAGTGTGTAGCTTGGGAGGAGCAGCGCCGGGTTCTCACAAATGAAGTAGGAGGCGATTTGTCGCTGTCGGCCTTGGTGCGGAGTATGGTCGGTAGCGCAGAATCGTGGGATGCAGTGGTGTCCTTCTGTGAGGACGTGATGTCGCAGAAGGAAACTGCGGAACGGGAGAGGGAGATCTCGACTCCCTTCCCTGGCCGCAGAAGGCGCACCGGGCGCAGGAGAAGGGCGGACAACGCCCTTTTCCAGCCCCCATGAATAAGTCCAGGGGCGAGGGACTAGGGGAAGCCCCCGCCCCCCTTTCGATGGACCCGAGGCGGAGGCACGCGTGGGTGTCGGCGCGTGCCTCTGGGGTGATACAGGGGGTAGTTGAACACCTCACTACCCCGTGCAGGAGACGAGGCCCGTACAGACCGGGCCAGCACTAGTGTGGGGCTGCGGAAAAATTCGGATTCCCGCGGCCCCGCGCGTGCACGTGCGAGGAGACACCGGGGTGGTTTTAGCCGGTAAGATTCCGGCACACCCCTCCGCCTGTCCCCAGGCAGAGGCAGTCCATGAGGATTTCCCCCCGTAAAAAAAAAAAAAAAAAAAAAGGTTAGGTTAGGTTAGGTTAAGTTCCCCCCGAACGGGTTCCCGCCGTGTCGTGGCGGGGGGGCTTAGTAGCCGTGGCTTGGTCTCCCACGGTGAACAAAGAGGAACCCACGTGGCTGGCCCAAGGTGAAGGGCCGGCCTGAGGTGGCCATCCGAGTGGGCTTGGGGAGCCCACTTCGGATGTGTGCTGGTGGACTGCAGCGAGTGGGGACTCCGCACCCTCTACCGCTGCAGCCGAGGTGGAGTCGCGGAGGAAGAGGAGTGTTGGTATGGCGATGCGCCACTCGCCCTATCCTCCGCGACTCAAACGGGGCCGCACCGTTGATGCGGTGGTGATGGGGCTGCGGGGGGAGAGGATTGTCGGTATTGCGAGGCGCCGCTCTCCCTATCCTCCGCA